AGCTAGGCAGATTTCTGAAGATAAATTCAACAAAGTCGCACATGCTCCACCAGTACTTGACTGTGCGAGAGAGTGGTAACTGGCGGTGGACCTGCCTGGCTTCGAAAAGTACCCAGAATCAACCATAGACCGGCCTGAGACCAGACATGGTTCTGCACTCTGCAGAAAAAAGCCAACTCATCCGAATAGAACTTAGCGTGCCGTATGAGTCGCGGGTGGAAGAAAATCACTTGTACAGGCTCGAAAAGTACTGTGAGTTGGTGGCCGGTCTGACGAGAGATGGGGCATACACAGTAAAACTGTTCGCAGTCAAGGTAGACGCAAAAGGACTCATATCCACCTTCACACACAATGTACTAAAACACCTGAGCTTGCGAGGAAAGGAACGGAAACGGGCATTAAAACAAGTAAGTGAGGCGGCCGAAAGAGCTCGAGCTGGCTGTGGACGTAACGAAACGTCGTGGGGGATATACCTCATTAGACTGGTCCGAAGCCTAGTGGAAAGGAACTTTACATCTCTTTAAAACCAAAGGGTCCGATTAAAGTCTGCCGGTGTCCCTCTGCCAACTGCCAAAGTCTAACGTGTGTCCGATGAACCAACCGTAAGCTCGTCACTCTGGTCGTGATGGTAGGCGCATACTTTGCTTCTGCAGAAACAATAAGAATAAACTCCACAGGGGAGCATGTACAGCAGGGGTCTACCAATCATAAGTAGAAGTAATCTCTCGTCGACAAATGTTTCGGCCCACGAGCTCCTAGATATTTTCAGAGAATGGGCCCACCTGAGTTCATGAAGCTCAGGGTTGGTTCCCCTGCTGCACTGAATTACCGGATGTTGTCCGGATAAGGACAAGACGAATTGGTGATTTTGAAGAAGGTACTGTGAGATAAGAAGTCGTCGCGGTAGCATAACTAAAGCAGTCTGCATACCTGAACGACCGAACGGCAAGCTTACGATTGGTATACCGGACACATGTTGGACTTTGTTGGCAGGTGGCAGAGGGACACTGGCAGACAATTCGGACACGATGGACTTTCAAGGGATGAAAAATTATTTTCCGCTAGACACCCGGACCAGCTCATCGAGGCCCGTCCCCTACGTTGTTTCGTTGTGTCCAGTGCCAGCTCGAGGCTCTCTCAACAACCTCGCCCAGCTGTTTAGGTGTCCGTGTGCATTCATTACCGCGCAATCCTAGTTCTTTAACCACATTGTAGAGTGAGGTGGAAACGAGACCTCTCGCTCCCACTTCGACGGCAAAGACTCGTACTGTGTACGCTTCGTCTCTCCTCAGATCGGCTGCTAAGTCATAGTACTTCTCGAGCTTGTACATATGGCTTTCGTCCATTCGCGACTCATACGGGACGGTCAGCTCAATCAGGATGAGTTGCCGTTTCTCCGCAGAGTGGAGAACTATGTCAGGTCGCAGGCGGCCGGTCTTCCGAATTGACTCAGGGTACCTTTCATGGCCAGGCAAATCAACCGCAAGTAACCAGTCCCGCGCAGAGTCTAGCATAGATGGAGCGAATGTGCCTTTGTTGATTTTACCTTTTTGAATACATAACACCAAACCTCACAATGCCTGTTGCAAAGCCACCATTTCGTCTTGTCCGAACGTCAGTTAAAGTGCAGCAGAATTTCGTGGCCTTGAGTCATTGACCAGACAGGCCCACCCTCCATGATTGACTAGGAGGATAATGGGCAGATACAATTGTCGAGGGACCTTTCTATTGATGAACGGTGGACTCCTTCTGTGCATGCTTCCCTGTGGAGTTCCTCTTCTTATTTCCTCTAGTTTTATAGAACTATCTATTCCCAGAATGTGTTCAGTTGGCATATGCTTTTTGCGGCGGATCATATATTCATTAAAATGAGTCCTTTGCAAACTATCAACTGACTACATGAATTTCTGTAAATTACCTATGGTGATGGAAAACTTGTTGCACGTAAACAGCCCCAGAGACCTGCCTGGCAAGGTCAAGCAGTTAATCACTAGAACTAACATCCATATATAGAAGGATGAAGAATGCCCCTGCCATCTTTGACGAAGTTTCCCCTAAAGATAAAATCGAGGAGAATAATCAATGAGGAAGCTAAGGAATCGAATTATCCACCATGTTAGTGATACAATGTTAGTTTGAAGTTTGGGCAACGAACCAACATATTGGCACACGGGCAGTAACCCATAAGTGCCCCGTTCTTTTTATAACTCAAGTCTAAGTCCGAAGAAGCTCAGCACAGTGCACAGACTTTGTAGCGCCAGTGAGGATCCTGAAATACTTTGGGCAGATTATTTACTCTAAATTTTGCCCGTTAGCCTTCTTTTTTCGATTTCTAACTGCCAATAAAATATTTCATAGCATTTAGGAACAAATGACACGTTAAAAAAAAAAAAAAAATAAAGGACCCTTTAGGGCATATTGGGCTAGACCTATATTTTTATAGACCAACGGCACAAGATGGGTGATGTAAATGACACGTAGGAGCCATTAAATAAAAAGTTGTTTGATGTTGCCAGAGTTATTGCTATTATTAATATATATATATAAATACAGTGTTTGTTATTCTTTTGAGGATCTACTTTAATCTTTCCATCAGTTCAACGATCACCAGAAAATCCGGAAGTGTTCTGGTCAGGGCTGCCAATGCTGGGTTTTCCCCCTAGATCGGGGTTTTTATTTGACGCCTTGGGGAAATCTTGTTTTTTTTAAAATATATCCTTATATAAAAGTGGTAAATGTTTCGTTTCGTAACTATAAATTGTGTTCATTTTAACAATCTGGGTTTTTTTATTTTGTTTTCTTTTTGTTTTTGTGTATATATATTGCTTGGGTTTTTGCTTAGCGAAGCTGGGTTTTTCAAAAAATCCTATTGGCAGCCCTGGTTCTGGTTGCGGTTCTGTATTTAGACGTGTTTCAAGATGGCTACGCTTGTCGCAGGTTTCTGAAACTTGTCTGTGACCTTCGTGTAGACAAGAGGAAAATCTTACTGGCATACATTTTGTAAGAAGGCTTTTATGTAATTGTGTAGTGTTCTGCCGCTACTCTGTAGCATTTTTATCTATGTGTATCAATTATATAATTTGTATTCTTTTCGTATAATAGTTCATAATACTTCATACCATACCCGTACCAGTATGGTGAGTTAAGTACAGTGTGTACACACCACCACACCATGTCTCCTCACGTCTTTTGGCCTGGCGTTTGTTGTGTTTCTTAGTGTTGTGTTCTCCAGAAACTTCAGCAGAAAGTGATGGTAGTTCGTCCATTTTTGTTTTCGGACCTAAGTCTTGTTTCAGAACTGTCACAAGCTGCAGAAGACAAGTCACCTACCTGTCACAAACTGTAGAAGTAGAAGACCAAGTAACCTACCTGACACAAGCTGTAGAAGACCAAGTCACCTTCCTGTCACAAGCTGTTGAAGACCAAGTCGCCTACCTGTCACAAGCTGTAGAAGATCAAGTCGCCTACCTGTCACAAGCTGTTGAAGACTAAGTCGCCTACCTGTCACAAGCTGTAGAAGATCAAGTCGCCTACCTGTCACAAGCTGTAGAAGATCAAGTCGCCTACCTATCACAAACTGTAGAAGATGTCTACCAAGAGAAGAAAAAGGTCCTGGCTCGACTTTAAACAGGCTTTTGTGGAAAAATGGCTTCATTGCAAAACTGAAAACTGAAATCCTAAGAAACATGCTAACCTGGATCCAATTCTTGCAGATCGGGAGAACTAGAGTCACTCTTAACTTTTTCAATCCCAAGGAACACATGATACCTTCATTGGTTCTTACCTAGAAGCCCAGTGAATGCAAGATGTGTTGATTTTACACCTCTCTTGACTACTTTTTGACCCTCAATGCTAAACCCCCTGGAACTGAAAGAGTTAATGACCTGCAGAGCAGAAGTGTTGCTTCATCAAGGAGTACACAGGGAGCAGTGATCTTTCTAACTCTTCTTGTTTACATCAGTGACCTGATGAAAGACCTCTCTGCACGAATAAAGGCTGTCTTGTATGCAGTGAGCAACAGATCAACCCACAAAACACAGCCACTATACTTTTCTCTCTTTCTCCCAGAGACAAGCTGCTCCTTTTCACCTAGAAACAACTTTACTAAAGGAAGAAAGCTTCCCCACTTATCTTGGAGTGACAATTGATAAAGGCACATTTGGAACAGGTGTATAGAAAATGCAGAAGGGAACACCATGGAATGACTTCAGCTACTTAAAAAAAAACTAGCATTTACAAGTTGGGAGCAAATTAAAAACCCTAAAGAAAGTTTATTATGGAGTAATAGGACCCCACTTGCTCATAAGCTTAATTCCTATGTGCAAACGTTAGAGTGCAAAATCAAGCACTGAATCCCAAAAAACTACACCAATCATAAAGATGCAGAAAATAACTGCATGGTAAAAATTGTCCTATAGAAGAGACACTAAAACTGTGATCCATTTGGAAAAGTTTAAAAGTAAGCAGTCACATTCAGTGAACACAAGATTTGAAGATCTTGTATTGGGAGGTATAATCAAATGTGTCAGCTTTTTTCCCTGTTTCGTTCTCACTGCTTATTTCATTCTAGTTTTCTTCCAGACTTCTTCACTGCACCCCATTTGAGGCCTCCAGTGATCGAATGCCCTCTTGTCCTTGCCTGATGAATATATATATCCTCTCACAGTATACATTCATACACGCTGTAGAGTTCACATGACTGTTTATTTTTTGTTCCAAAACCCACAAAACTCACACTTTATTTAGCACATGCCTTCCTGTCTCACTAAGCAAATTCCTGTGGGTTCCAACTGCATCATGTACAAATTGTATCTGTCAGCTTTCCAAGTCACAGTCTAATTACACAGGACAGGAGATGGCAAAACATGACTACCAGCACCTAACAGTGCAACTACACGGCTGCTCATAATAGTAATGATGAACCTGTTATTCGACTGTTCACAATGATGTCACGAACTAAAAATATTGCTTTGTTTTTCTACTTTCAGTTACCCTCCAAGATGATGCATTGCAGATCTCTTGTTGGATGCTCTCGTTTACCACTTTCCACACTGTCATTTGCTGGTAAGTCTCTTGACTGTTGAAATAAGTCTACTGTAGATGTTGGGAAGTTTGCTTACGATTGTATTATTCATTGTGGTGTAATATATTCTAAAGGTTCTTCTTTTTTGAGCAGGTTTGACAATCATTACCCTACCTCTGATATTCAAGTAAAGTTTCTGCATGTTTAGCTGAGGCATTGCAAACACACTTCTGAATGCTGGCGTGCGGGTTAGATCCTAGCAGCAGCTCATTTGGCAGAAGACCGCTTTAAGTTGGTTGCGACTAGTATCAAGAGCTGACCGTTCAGCAAACAGTGACAAACTACTGAACATAAATTTGCCTGGAAAAACCGCAACTGCCCAAAAAATACCGGGGTTGGTTTTGCAAAGTCCTGTAAATGACACACAACTAACTGATGTTAGTTATACAGGGCATTCCTGTAATGATATCGATAACAGTTAAAATGGGAATATCCAACAAAATATATGAAGCAAGTTTTGCACGTCAGAGTGTTAAGACCTGGATACTCAAATATATGCTGCACGAGAGTGTTTTGGGGATTAACGGTAAGAAGGAAGAATGGATAACAGCATGATGGAATGACAGTTAACAACCAGAGTGTGAGAAAGGATAGAAAGTGTTATTTCTGGTCTCTGAATGCAGATTTGTATTGGTTTTATAAGTCATTGTGTGTCGATGTGGATATGTAAAGGTACATAACAAGACCTGATAAGGAGAACTCACCAGGGACCCACGAAGTAATTCTTCTTACTAAAAATTCTTTTTATCCAGATAATAGTTGAAGAATATGGTAATGTATTTACAACGTACGATGCAGTAATGAATTAGCGTAGAATATAACAGATGAATGACACAGAACAGTCTTCCCCTGAGAAAGACTGCAGGTGACACCTAGCTAGTGTAACTTTTACGGCTGTCCTAATAATAATTTTGTTGGCGGTTGAACAAGGTATCTGGCATCTGTCATGTTGGTCTGCCTTTAGGAATGAGCGTTTTTAAATCTCAGGATGTTAGGACAAACTTTCAAGTAGCAGCCCTGAGGGGACAGGCAGACTGGTCAATCAGTCGACACAGAAAGTACGAAAATCACTGACAGTTTTAATTTAGAAGAGAAATAACTTAAATTCTAACACAGAATAAGCACCCCCCCCCCCCCCCCCCCCCCCAAAGCAGAAAAGTTTATAAGAATGTTGAGGTATATGAAAAATATTTGTAAATATTTATCTTAAGCAGATCAGATTATATACTTGGAACAAATTTAATCCTTCAGCAGATCTGTGTATTTGTGATAAACCAATTCCCCTCAACTGGACATTAAAAAAAATTGTTAACAAAAGACAGAGGAACAAATGTCGGGAAATAACAAATGATTCCTCACAATAGAAATTTGCTACATCTAAGATTGTTTCAACTCTTTGAGTCCCAGAAGGTCCTGGCTAATATCCAAGAGAGCAAGAATGGCAACACTAAACTCATGGGTATACCATTTCCACAGGACCAGATACCCAATCCTGAGGGAAAACAAACACATTTTTTGGGTCTGGATTTTTTTTTTCAAGATTGATTTGATTCGAGAACTGACATCACAGCACTCGGGGCATTCCCATAAGCACTCCGTCCCCATCTTCAGCAGCCAGCAAAGAGTTCCGATACAAATGGTGCCAGTAGCATTCTCATTAAACGTCCGTCTTGCCTTTCCTCTGAGCCTCGAGCATCTGCCAGAACCTCTCGTCGCTCCACCCTGCATCAATCTCACTAGACTGTGGTGATCCATCTGCTCCTCTGAACTGTACATGCTCTCCCACACGACACTAACCACGCCTGCCCTATCATGTATCAGTATTCTACCAAGTTGTGCAGAGCCAGCCAGTCTGTCCACCTGTTCATTTCCCAACACACAGGCATACCCCGTGAACAAATCCAGACAATACTCCTTGCCCGTGTCCTCCACAGCGAAGCATGCCACTCTGCACGAAGCATACCTGTTCTGATCTTTCTCAGCATGCCACTGACACTTGACACTGAACCGTCTGTGTAAATGATCAAATCCTCTGAGCGAGCATTATCTTGAATTAATTGCTGAATTTCCACCTTGGTGGCACCTGCTGGCCAGTCTCTGCATTCCCGGCTCAGCGTGGTTATGACTCTACACAAGTCTGACTGTTCAGGTGGCACTTTGGCCCACTCCTCTCCCCGCCTAATGTTCTCAAGGATGCAAACCTGTCTGATTGTGTCTTCTGCCTGAGCCATCCATGACCTCCTCCTTATCAGCCGCTGACTCTTAACTGCACCCAGAGCTTCATGCAAAGGGTGGTCTGTGTCTGCAGCTACCCTGAGATATGACTTTGCCTGCAGCACCTTGTGCCTACCTGCAACCGTCGGCAAACCAAGGACGTATTGCATACACACCACTGGGGTGTCTCTGGTGCAACCCACAATGACCCGCATAGCCGCGTTCAAGAATCTTTCGCCAAACCTAAAATATAAAACTGAGATAACTGTTTGGTACACATAAATAATTTTCAGCTACACAGGGTGCTTTGCTTGGAAAAGCATGAGTTAAAGGATCATATATTGTTTGTTCCTATTTAATCAGCCTCTGTATTCCTGTGCTTTTCTTTCCCTAGTCTTTTCCTCATATAAGAATATTTTTGCTGTTCCATTGGGTGTTCCTTATAGTTTGTATCTGTCCTTCTCTGAAGGTTTTAATAGTGATGTTGTAACCCCTGCAGTATCAATGCCTTGTTAGTTTTCTTAGTTTTACAGTTTTTTAAAACCCCCCCCCCCCCCTCCCCCCGTAATTTCACAGTAATTTTATAAATCGTTAGGATGTTATTTGCAATTGAGAGAATTTACACCAGATGGTCCCCTGCAGAGAGTGTCACACAAAGCACAAACTGTAGCTCAAACGATGACTCCTCCTTCACCCTTAGAAACACTTGCATGAACCGTATGTAGGGCAGTCTGAAACTAAACTCGCAGCCTTCAGAGCATGAGTTAAACGGCTTAATGACTTTACCAGAGAAACCCTGGCTCAAAAGTTAGATGCAATCAGATGTGACAGGCACACACTATTTGGCAGGGAAACAAAGATGATACATCTGTCATTTTCAGATTCCTTTTGCATTGTTTTGCAGTTAATTCTAAAAATGTTTTTTGTTTTGAAGTTCCCTCTAAAACATTTTTTTTTTGGTAGTTACCTCTAAAAGTGATTTTGTTTTCACTTTGTCCTGCAATTGTTTCTAAAATTAGTTTGATTGGTACTTTGTTTTCAGCGCTGCCTCTGAAAATGTTTTCATTTTTTGTTCTGCAGTTGCCTCTGAAATATTTTTATTTGTATTCCTGTAGCTGGCAAACATGTTCCTAGTTTGTACTTGGCTACGCAAGACAGTTATGCAGATTTGAAACTGACAGCCAAGAAGGTCTTGCCCTTGCTGCATCGCATCGGACACCAGTACACCGGGAGCAATGGCCAGGTGCCCGTGCAGAAAATACACCCATTTTGCCAAGCCAAAACTCTTTCGAATGTTATTTTTGAGTCTCCTTTAACTGAGAGTGAACAGATGCGATTTTCAAATAAATCTCAGAGTGTAGATTTATACAAATGTCCTTCCAGGCATACAGAGATGTTTAGTAACATGATAATTTTAGATAATGTTCCATCAGCATCATCATTTTATGATTGCCCAGAATCATCTTTGATAGACAGTTTAAAGGCACCAACTGTAGAGAAATCTCAGATCTCGGAAAAACCTGGCACAACTGCTCCCAAAATGGAAGCCAAAATTATAATGAGGATAAGACATAAGAAAATGAAGAAACATAAATTGAAAAAATTGAGAAAAAGAATGTATGCTTTGTGGCACCGACAGAAACTGGCCAGGAAAGCCAAGAGGATGAAAATTTATTGGAAAGAAATAGAAGAAATAAAGAAATCTGCAGAACAATTCAACGCTGAGGAGTTTGTGAAAGAGCAGATAGCGAAGGCGAAGAAAGGGGGGTTTTCTGTGAGTTTACTGAGATAATTAGGGTGTGGCCAAGAACTTGGATAAAAAAAAACAACAGAAGATAAAATGTTATTAGTGTTTGACCCACGTTGAAAGTCAAGTCTTATGTTCAATGCCATGCCTTGAGATCTCAGTCCACAGCATTTGTTTTCAACCATTTTTTAGGTGGTGAAACCGTAACCCCCCATCCTTTTTTTTCCCTCTTGAATAATATATATGTGGTAAGACCTCTCCTTCTCACCTCTCCCAACTCTAAAAACAAATGTGATTGAAAAGAGGACAAAGGGGAAAATCCCAAGCACTGTTAACAAGAACTTGGAGAAAAATTGCTGTTAAAAGAAAAACAAGAAAGGCAGTTGTCTGATGGTGATTTCCTGTTTAAAAAAATGTACACATAGTTATCTGATGACACGTTTCTATTAGTTCGGGTGAAAGCTCGCATGTCTGGAAATTATCAATGATCCAGATGCAAATGAACTAAAATAAATTGTAGAACCCTGAGGTTTTCTTGTGTGCTTTTTTTTAAAGTGATAAAGCGCCATTGGATAACTATCCTTGTTTTTTATTGTGAACAGTACAGTAATTAAACTGGAAAAATAGTGTAACGGATTAGTATTATTATTATTATTATTACAAGTACGAGTGCACTCATTTGTTTGACATACCGCACCCCCTTTTCTGGGTTGAAAACTACTGGTCTACATCATTCTATATTTTTCTATGTTACAATGCCAAACTGTCCAGAATATCTCTGGGTCTCTGTCTGTCCCTCTGCCTGCCCCTCCAGATTTTGTGTGGTCATAATGTATTCCAGTTTTCATCATTCTGACAGTGTGATCACAGGATGTAGATTGTCTCCTCGTAATGTAGATCTATTCCAGTTTTCATCATTCTGACAGTGTGATCACAGGATGTAGATTGTCTCCTCCTGATGTAGATGTATTCCAGCTTTCACCCTTCTGACAGTGTGATCACAGGATGTAGATTGTCTCCTCCTGATGTAGATGTATTCCAGTTTTTACCCTTCTGACAGTGTGATCACAGGATGTAGATTGTCTCCTGATGTAGATGTATTCCAGCTTTCACCCTTCTGACAGTGTGATCACAGGATGTAGATTGTCTCCTGATGTAGATGTATTCCAGCTTTCACCCTTCTGACAGTGTGATCACAGGATGTAGATTGTCTCCTCCTGATGTAGATGTATTCCAGTTTTAACCCTTCTGACAGTGTGATCACAGGATGTAGATTGTCTCCTCCTGATGTAGATGAATTCCAGTTTTCACCCTTCTGACAGTGTGATCACAGGATGTAGATTGTCTCCTCCTGATGTGGATAATAAGTTCTTATTATAAGTTCATCTTTTTTTAATGCTTTTTATCTGCCCACGGTGCCCTTATCATTCATTCATAAAAATAAACTCTTTGCAGCTTCAGTGTAATCTTGTATAAATTAGCTGAATGTCCATGAGTCAGCTAAAGATAATTTTGTAATATGGGGTCTTTTTTTATTTCATGATTGTGTGTGTAGGCGTTTAAAATATTTTGTCTATTGACTGTTTAATGAAAGCATGTATTTTTAATGTTTTGGATGGTATTTGTTAAGTTAAGCATGACAATTATGTGTGTTTATTTCATGATCGTTTTACCAACATTCTGACATGTGTTAGGTTGTGTGAATGTAGACTTGAGTGTGGATCTAACAAGAAAGGATGTATTAGAAGAAGAGTATGATGTGTGTATAATGTGGACTGGAGTGTGGATCTAACAAGAAAGGATGTATTAGAAGAAGAGTATGATGTGTGTATAATGTGGACTGGAGTGTTGATCTAACAAGAAAGGATGTATTAGAAGAAGAGTATGATGTGTGTATAATGTGGACTTGAGTGTTGATCTAACAAGAAAGGATGTATTAGAAGAAGAGCATGATGTGTGTACAAATATTGTGCTACTGGAACAGTCAGCATCTGCACCTTACATGCTGCAGGAGACACAGCATCTGTGGGTATGCCCAGGATGCAGTGACGTGGTTTAACTTGTTTGGTACCAGAAGACAGTTGAATTAGTTGTAAATCAACACCGGATGCATCCTTGGTACCCAAAGAGTTAAATCAGTAATCACTTTCTCCCCATGTGGGTTCTGGGGAAAACAAAAATAGACCCACTGCCTCCACAACAAGCATGTCGTAAGAGTCGACTAATTTGGGGGTTTCCTTCGAAGTCAGAGTGCAACTGCCTGACAGGTAAGGAACCAACAATCTGCATACAGATAAGTGAGATCTGTAAAATGGGTGTGCATGCAACAGTCAGGTTCAAAACAAGACTAAAGTCCAGAACTTTCCACCAGTTTGCAGCTTGAGAAGACCAGCTGTGCTGTGAATTGTTTTGTGGAACTGTATAAATAAGGAACTCAAGAATGTTGCCTCCCTCAGTTTGTTTAATTCTGACACACATTTTAGATACCATGTCCAGCTTCTTCTCTCTCGGTCTCCCTCTACCATTTTCCCTCCTCCAACTTCCCCAGTGTCACGATGTACTTCAGTTTTCTCCTCATGACATGACCAAAGAATGTTCATTGTCTCCTTCTGATGTGTGCAGTTTCTTTCAAGACATCTTCATCACGGTTTTTATCTTTCCAGGATATTCTTATAATTTGTCTATAAAACCACATCTCCGCTGCTTCCACATAATTGTTCACTATTTTTTCATATCACAATGTCAAAGATGGTGCCAAAATTTTACATAGAACCTGTTCTGCTGTATGGCAGCAAATCTTGGAATGTCAGTGAACAAATTTGGAAGCAACAGAGATGCGGTTTCTGAGATGAATGTCTTGGATGGCTAGAGTAACTAACAACGATTGCTTGATAGAAGCTAATGAAAGTAGATCTCTATATACAACAAAAAGAAAGAGACAAACACTGTTCTTTGGCCACATAATTAGAAGAAAGACATTGGAAAACATCATGACATCTGGAGAGATCACTGGAAAAAGGGGTAGAGGCAGACCAAGAGAGATGATGCTGGATGGGCTGAAACGATGGTATGGAGGGATATCAAGAGAGCTGTTCCAGGGATCGTGATCTGTGGAGGAACATGACCGCCTACGCCAGTTGGCAGGGTGCATGATAATGATGATCACAGTGTCTAGGTACTTTAAAGGTGGCTCTGAGGTTAGTTAATGCACTTTTAACTGTTGCACAACCCTCAGTTTCTATGGTTTGGTTGCTGTACTAGTCAGGATATTGTGAAAATTAAAAAAAAAGTGTTTTCATTGCTTTTCGAAAGTGGTACAAGACTGACATAGCAGACAAAACAGTGGATGACTATAAAGAATACAGACTTAGTCTATTCTCTTGAGCCTAGGGCGGCGCATAGACCAGATGTCATAGCTCTCCTTGTCTGGTAGTCCGTTGCCACCTGATTTAGGTCTTGGATGTTCATTAGGCCCATGGTTAGGCCTTCCCTGTTGATGGTTCTATGCAGGGTCTCTATTGGTCTTCCATATTAGGGTTTGACGGGGAAGTCTGGTCTTATCCATTCTGAGTGCATGGCCGATGTAGTTCCAGCACACGGACTAGACTACTGTCATATTTATACATGCTGCTGAAGACAAGACTATGAATCCCTACTAATAACATACCACCTCATACTTATGAGAACGTTGAGACCACCACGAGCTGATAAACATAATGGTATCTTCAAGAAACTAACTCTCAGAAAGAACTGGTTACAAGTATTAAAAAAAAGACAATCCACATTTTGTGGGGGCATCCTGTGAAGAAGAAAGAGTATGTTATGACAGCAGGAAAATTATATAGGAGGAGAGGCAAAGGAGACCAAAACAATTTCTCTTCATGGTAATCAAGAGCATTTGTGTCAAAATGACACATATATACAGAAGAATCTGTCATATTTCATGAAAACAAATTCAGAGGTTCTGGAAAGACTGCGAATGAGAAAAGAATTACTTAAATATAGAAGAGACAATACTGAAATATTTTGGCCACAGTAGAAGACAAAATTTGCTTTAAAAATAATAATGGAGGAAAAGGTCAAGAACAAGAGAGCAAGAGGCAGCAACATTACAAGTACAACATTAAGGGATGGACAAACAGCTGTCTGAGATAGTGTACGACCAAGACAAGAGGCAGCAACGTTACAAGTGAGAGTACAACATAAAGGGATGGACAAACAGCAGTCTGAGATAGTGTACAACCAAGACAAGAGACACAGCATGTTGGAGATCCACTGCAGCCAATCTTTGTGGAGATGGCACCTGACTGACTGAATACAAGCGGACAAAAATCTGAGGGCCACTTAAGGGCCGGATTTGGCAGGTCGTCGGTTGAATAGCCCTGGCCCATGCCTTATTTTACTAAACAACAAAAAGGCTGAAATAATCTGTACAAGAAAATTTATTAGTCTATTGAGCAGACGATATTTAAAAACAGCATTTCACAAGAACAACACATCTGATGCTCCCCCCACCTTTTCCGCGATCATTTGTACTATATAAGCAAAATGTTCAGTTTATTCACAATACAATGTCGAGACCAGCGAGACAAAACAACACTGACAATTGAGAAAAAGTTACATTCAATTTCTGTGTCTTGGTATTTGATACAAGACACGACAAACCGTCGTAACTGAGTTTACCACTTTTTAGACGGCACAGCGTCTTGAGTCTTTAGTACACAAGAGTCTTGAGCTACCGCAGTCGCCATAGACTGCAGTTATTACTGTATCTGATACGAAAAAATCAATCTTACTGAAGTCCAACCAAAGAGATCAGATCAGAGACATGTTGACGCATGTGTTAAATGGATTCATTTTAACATGATACTGAAGGCAGCTGCTGAAGAGACTAAAAAAGTGTCTGAAGTTTATGGGGCAGAATAAGAAAAACTCACAAGGGGAAGAAAATTAATGATATATATTTTTTATATTTTTAAATCAAGAACAGGTTTTTACTTAATGGACGGGGGTGGTTCGGGAGAGCAACATATATATACAAGACA